TTTTAAATGTTATTTATGTGAGTTTATAATTCAGTAGTAGCATGACTCACTTTTTTCCTGAAGGTGGTAGGAGGAATGTGTCAATCTCATTACCAGAAGGCAGCTTACTTTTTAATTACTGCAGTTAGACATGGCCTTCACTGGGGGCTTTGGGACTGACACTGACCTGCAATTGGAGGCACAAGGAACAGATGCAGGGCTTGCTGTCTTGGGCTGCAGTACTGGGTATTGCCAGCCAGCAGCTGGGACTGCCTGCTCTGAGCAGTCCAGTGGCTGTCGGTGACACTCTCCCCCAACCCTTGGTCTCTCCTTAGTTGGATATTGCGGCTCTGACAACCGTGTATTCCTCACTCCGCATCCCAGTCCAGACAACAGTTCTCACACCGGGGTTTTGACATGGCAGGAGGAGGTCGTGGTTCTCCAGCAGACACGTCCAGGCCCACAGAGAAACATCTCTTTTGACATTTGCTTTATTTTGTATTTATTAGATTGTACTGACACATACCACCCCTGCATGTTCAGCTAAGAGATGGAGAGGCTTGCTAAAGCTCTGAACATAGCCAAGCATGTGGCTATGTTTTATTTCCCCCTGGTACTGGGAACTCTTGATAACTATTGCAAAAACTGTATTGATATTTAAATAATGATGAATACATTCTAAATAAAAATGTTTGCATTAGTCCCTTCTAAAGTGCCATTGTGTGAACCAAACAAAATGCATGGAGATGCAATTCGTTGGCCAAGGTTACTCTAAAAATTCATTTTACAAATGGCTTCACTCAGAGGTTGTTTTAAAGTACCGACAGATGAAACAGCCATTATATCCTTCAGATACCCTCGGCACTGTGAGCCTGGGGGATGCTGGGCTTTTTGGGGTCCGTGCTGTGCCTGACAGCGACCTCAGCACCGGGATCACCCATCCTTGCTGAGGGCCTGGGGCGAGCATGAGCCCCCCTTGACCGCCTTGGAGGGGGGAATGTAAAGGAGCACCTCCTCGCTGCAGATGTTTTCTCACCCAGATGTTTTAGCTCAGAGCTCAACCTGTCCCCTTGCCCCAACCCTGCGAGTGCAGAGCTGCTGCCCGAAGGCGGCGTGGCTGGGGGCGAGCAGGGCTGGCTCTTGCTCAGCCCCTGCCCCTGCAGGCACCGCGGCTGCTGCCGGAGCGTGAGCCAACTCTGCGAGCCAAAGTCCGAGACAGCACCCAGGCAGCGGGGCTGGGAGTGCCCGTGCCATGCTGGCGCTGGGGCGTTTCCTCTGGACCAGCCTCCTGAGATGATATTTTTATTCCCTTTTCCGTTTACTGAGAAACCACCGCATCTGTTGCAGCAGGAGTTCTCAGAGGCCTCTGGTCTTGCCAAGGCTCTTGGGCACAAGTTTTGCAAGTGCCCTGTAGAGGGTAAGGAAACACCACACCTTCAGTGCAGAGATAAAATGAATAGTCCATCGAGATAGTAGCAGAAATACACGTTTATGTGTGGATAACTGAGTGGTACAAGAATATGGTTAAACTCAAGCAGTTCCTCAGTGCACACCAGCGCTCCGCGTGAAGATGTCTAATGGAAATCACACGGAGAACGTCAGACTGAAAACCTGCTGCTTGTGGGTGTGAGGAGTCAATCCCCACTCCTGACCTTGCCCTGGCCCTCGGCCACAGCACTGGCACCCTCCAGGGAGTGACTAAGGACTGGCGGGAGCCTGGGCGAGCACTGGGACACCCTCAGCCTGCCGTGGGCAGCGGGCAGCTCCCGCCACTGCCTCACAGGCTTTGGCAGTCCCGTGGGCTGGGACTGGGCAGCACCGGCAGAGCCCTGCCTCAGCATGCAGGGGAGAGCCGGGTGATTCACACCGTGGCTGGTGAGGTGCGAGGGTCCATGTCACTGAATTAACCAGAAAACACACAGCAAACGATCCCCCGGCATTAACCCGAGGGATGCAGCTGCAGAAAGCCCTCCTCCGCATGTCCCCATGGTGGGGAGTGGGTGCCAGGGAGGCAGCGTCTGGTGCCCAGGGACCGTGGCTGCAGCGTGGGGTTGCCTTGCCCCACGGCAGGGGATGGGGGTCCCTCAGAGAGCGTGAGACCTGCCTCCTGCGCCAGCTCAGGCACCAGAACACGCCGGGGCTGCGGCACCCAGTGGCCACGGCCACAGGGTGATTTTGGAGGATGTTTTGGAAGATGCACCTTCACGTTCACTCGGGTGGATGGCCAAGGTGTCCCTCAACTGGGTCTAGGACCGCAATAAACCCATGTGTGCTCATCTCTGCCACAGCCCCCAGGCACAATATCCAGAAACTCTGGCTCTCTGACTCACTGGGGATCCAGATGCCTGCGTTACAAGTATGTATATGTGTGTGTGTGTATGTGTGTGTATACTTGTATATGTCTATAGGAATATAGATGTACAATATGTCGTGTGTATAGTGTTCATGCATATGCCAAATTTCATAAGAGCAAGAGTGATAAAATATATGAAGTATTTCCTACCAGAAATGTAATGGTTGGTATCAGCCCAACCGTAAGTACCTCTGGGCCTGCGGAAAGCTTGGCCGTGGGGTGGGTACAGGCATTGCCGCCTTTCTGGGGTGAGCCTGCCTGAGTAATTAGCCAAACGACCCTTCTACACAAACACAACATCCCAAGAGCTCCGAAACGATTCAGGGGCCACATTTTAGGGCCGCCCGGTAGCTCACTGGCTCCTGTTCAATCACGCCCTAAAGTAGGCTTCCAGTATTTCAGCAGAAATCAAGCTGGGGAAGGATTTCCAACAGAGCTGTTCACCTCTCCTGAAACCAGTCTCCACCTTTCTTTTCAGCACCTACATACCCAGACACCTTCTCCCTGCCCCACAGGTCGCTGTTGCAGCTAGTGACATCTCAGGTTTCGATGGTGCACAGCGAGCCAGCCTCCAGCAGCATCCCAGCATTGGCATTTAACTGTGAAACGTGTGAGGGTATCCGGAAATATCTCCCGAAGGATTAAGTAAAAATGAAAGATCTGGGTCTTTCTGCAGGGAAACCTGTTTGGTTTTGCATTTCTGTCAGTTGCGCCGTGAATAGGGAGCTTGAACATGCTGAACCCACTTGTCTTGACACCAGTTCATGGAGACATTAGGAGGGTGCAGGGCGTGCGCCTGGGCAGAGGCGGTGGGAGCACGCTGCAGCAGAAGGGCTGCCCAAGCCCCCTGCCATGCCCAGCCCTGCTCCTGCCTCCCCCCTGCTGCCCACCAGCTCTGGGCAGCGGGCGCTGCCGGCGGGATCCTGCACCCTTTCGACAGGACCCTCCTGCCGCTCGTGGGCTCCCTTGGGATCTTTGGGGCTGCCTAAGCCGCCCCCTGCGCTCACCCCAGGGGAATGCCCCGCGAGCATCACCCCCTGCCACTCCAGCACCGACTTTCCCAGGCCATTTGCTCCAGAGGAAAAAAAAGTCACGTTTCTGATGGCCTCCATCCTTCCCCTGCCTCCCCATTCCTGCCTGGAAAACGCAGCCCACTTCCTGCAGCTCAGGATGCATTTTTCTTCGTCACCATAGTGACAACGTGTAAATATTTGGGGCTGGTGGGGTTTTGATCAGATTTTGAAAGTCTTGAAGAGGTTGGCAAACCCGTTGTTTATGTTACTGCAGTTCAGATGGAGTCTCATGACTTGCAGTTGAGGTTAAGCAGCTGGGGGGCGGCCGGGCTTGTTATTTTGCCGGCATCTGGCAGGTTGCTGGCTGGGCACCTCGATCCCTGCAGCATGCTCATTGCAAGCCACGGCCCTGCGGATGCTGCACTGGGAAACCATCACAGGGGGTTCATCGCATTTGCCTCGAGGCTGAAATGAGACCCCAAGCCGCCTTTCACATATGCCCTTGCCCCATCCTCGGATGTGATTTCTTCTGGTAGCGAACAGTGGGCTGGCTTGGAATTATTTGAAAAGAGCTGGTCTTTTTAAGTGACAGCCTTATGGAAACACATGTCCTGGGCAGATGGGAGAAGACAGGAGAGAGAGATGCAGGCTACACAAACTCAGCAGAGTTTGCTGTCTGTTCAAGAAGACAGGGGTTTATTTTTCATATTTCCGATGATGGTTTTGTCTTTGGGTTTGAGTTTTGTTTTTCAGTTGTTTGTTTGGTTTTTTTTTTTAATTGGATCTGAACAGTTGCAATTAGCAGCTTTTTTTCCCCCAGCATGATTTTCCTCCCTCTCTAATCGATGCCCCTCGATTGAGTTTGTGCAGAAGCGTCGCTTTGGTGTGCCTACTGCAGAGAGAAGCAACTGGAGCAAGAAACCACTGCAGCAGCACCTGAAGCTGCAATCCGAGCACGCTGCCAGCCACCAGCACTGCTGAGGGCTGCGCGTAGGCACTGGGGACGCGGGCACAGGCTGCAGACTGCGAGCTCAGGGCGTCGTGCAAGTGGTTGGAGCGAGTGGGAGGTCTGGGTTGCTAAACAGTCCCGGTGTTTTGAACAAACAGATCTCATTTTATCCTCTTTACTGTCTTCAGTGTGAGGCAAACAGGCTGTCTCACAGCTGACTCCAAGTGGAGTCACTGGGGAAGCGGTGCTGCAGGCTCGCTCTGCCCAGCCCTCGTGCCAGCCAGGTGCGCCCCGCGGCGCACGGCCGTGCCGCTCCCGGATCTGCCGTACCACCGTCCCTGCTGTACCGCCGTCCCTGCCGTACAGCCATCGCTGTGCCTGCTGAACAGCTGCTTTCTGAAGACAAGGTGACGCCGATCCCGCAGTGGACCCCGGGGCTGCAGGCATGCTGGGCTTGGCCAGGAAGGGGAGCACCCATAGGATACCCTGTGCAGCCCCAGCAACAGCCTGGGAAGCTGGGAGGAGGGGGAGAGCCTGGGGCAAATCAGCAATATGGACAAAACCGGGAGAAATATTGTAATGTCCTAAGAAGGCCTAAGAAGCTGGCGCCTCAGAGCCTCTGACTGAAGCCGAGCCCCGCAGTGCCAGCGATGCGCTGGCTGCCCAAGTGGCTCTGGTCGCTGCAGGGCTGGGGCTGCGCCACCGCCCTTCTGGGTCCCAAACCCAGGGAGGATCACGAGGGGTTTCTGCTAAGTGGTCTTTTGTGGGAGAGGAAAGAGACTGTAAGAGAGGAGACATCTGGGCCATCTGACAGTCCAAAGCACAGGGGGAGATGTTTAGCAACGCCCCTGGGTGCTCTTTTAGGGTGGTATCAAGAAAGCAAAGCGGCTACAGGAGAAGGGGCAGGTGTTTAGACAGAAGCAGTGGGACCGCCCGCAGGGAACGCCTCGCACAGCCCTGCCACGTTGCTACTTGATTAACTCCTGATAAAACTCCGACCGCACAAATCTGGGCAGGGAGTCTTTCTCCATTAGGGCAAAGATCCTCTTCTGGGCCATGTCAAAGCTGCTTGGCGATGGCTCCACCAGGTTCTTCATGGTCACAGCCTTGGTGAAGTGGTCGATGTTCACCTGTGATGGGAGTGTAAGAGGGATGGGGACCCTGCCTTTGTGAGGGGCGGGTGATGGTCGTCTCCCCTCGCCTGCTCTGTCCCACCAACAACCACGCAGAGGTTACAGGGAGGGACTGAAACACGTTCGCTTATCTGGGGGAATTATTGGTGGCAAATCTGTAATGAAGGCTGAGGTCTATCCTGTAGCAAAGGTAACTCTGGGGCGAGGGCTACCGTAGATCGTCATGCCGTATGATTAGCATAAGCCCTCCGTGGGGAGAGGGGGACAGGCATGTGCTGGAGGTGCCTGCGGCGGGAGGCAGCCCAGCAGAGGCTGAGCGTGTGAACAGGGGCACCGGGGCTGCGAAGGGTGGGAGTGCAGCCCGTGGGGATGGGGCTGCCTCTTGCTGAGGGTACGGCCCTCTGAGCCCCTCAGCCATGGTACAGGGTGCCCTGCAGCCATCACTCGCCTTTGGGATGGGGGCCACCTGGGCGGCAGCCTTATCCCTCCTGGCACTGACTCCTGCCCTGCAGCCACTGACCTCTTTGGGTGCCTCAGTCTGGATGAACTCCTCATAGATCTTCTTGGCCTTCTCCGCCATCTTCACAGGGGACTTGGTTTTCTTGTAGTCCTCACAGGCCACCCAAAACTCGGCGTTCTCCTCGCTGAACTCGGAGCGCAGGAAGCTGCAGAAGCTGGCGAGCCCATCTGCGGGGGGAACGGGCCCTCGCTGAGCACTGGGGATCCCAGGGGGGCCGAGCTCTTGCTGAGCACCAGGGAGGGACATGGGATGGGGGGATGTGACCACAGGGGGATGTGAACTTACAGGGGTTTTGCAGGAGCTTCTCCAGGGAATCACGCCACTGCAGAGCCTCCTCTGGTGATGGCCTGAAGGGAGTAAAGAAAGCCCAGGTTGTCCATGCTCACCTCACAGTCTGGGCTCCAGGTTTTTAAATAATTCCTTTAAAAATGGGGAGGAATGGAGTAACGAGCTGTGGAGACTGTTGCAGAGCAGTGGCCATGGTCAGGCAACGGAGATGCTGCTGCATCACAGCACAAGTGCCCTCCTCCCGGGGAGAGCCGAGTGCCAGGGGAGGTGAGGACCGGCTAACTCTCCCATGTTTTGAGCAGAAACATGGTCAAACCTCAAAGCGAGTCCCCTCTGCAGCTGCAGGTCCCCACCTTGCCCCAGCACTCGTGTACAAGAGGGCAGAGCAGAGGCTCTGCAGGCAGCTGGGAAGCATCCCTGCGTTTTCCTGCTGGGGTAGGGAAGGATGCTCCCCGCTGAGGAGGAGCGGAGGAGGCTGGATCCTTCCAGCCCTGCACTGCCGGGGCTGGGGTCAGCGCCCCTCCACTCCCACAGCCCTCCCGCCCCATTCCCACGCCCCGCGGCGGGGCGGGACGCCAGCCTCGGCTCCTTCCCCTCCAGTGGAAACCTTCAGTGTTTTTCATGTGCGTGGCTTTTCCTCTTTTTTTTCTTTTCTTTTTTTTTTTTAAATGCGATGCTTGTAATATGACTAAAGAGGGTTGTGGGTTTTTTGTTTGTGGTTTTGGTTTGTTTTTTTTTTTTAAGCCTCGAGGAGTTTGACCGAGCTGCCCTGGGGCACGGGGCTCCTGCCTGCCCTGCTGCCCACCGGCCAATGCCTGGTGCTGGAGGGAGCGCTGGGCTCGCTGCAGGCCTTCCCCTCTCCCCGTGGGCAGCGCTGCAGCTCAGGCTTGTTTTGCTGCCGCAGGGGCACGTGTCAGGGCCAAAACCCTCTGGGTGAGCAGAGCATCCCTGGGTGTGGGGAGGGAGCAGCAGGCAGGACAACCTGCCGGTCCTGGAGGCCTTGGTGCTTCAGCAGTGAGTCTGGGGAAAGTGCGGGTGCTCCTGCCCAGCTGGCAGCTGGCGTTTGCTTTCTGGACCTCAAACTGCATTTGCACTTGCTATCAAGGATCAAAAGCTCTCCCTGCCCCCATGCTCCTCCCAGGTGTCTCCCCACCCCCAGTGAGGGGGAGCATCACTGCAGCGACCCAACACAATCCAGATTTCCTGGAAACTACCAAATTCACTTTTCCATTAGCTGAATGTCCCAGGGATGATATTAACTGCGAGTGAGATGCTGACGGATGAGTGATACTGAGGCTGCGCAACAGTGCAGTGCAGGAGAAAACACCTCCTCCAGCCAGCGGGGAGTGAAGATGTCCTCCAGCTTTTGCCGGGGACAGCTAATGGGGACAAATGTGTCTCCTTCACAGAGGCATCCAAGGCACAGCAGCGACTGAATGTGAAACGTGCCGTCCGTCGGGGCTCTGCCTGCCCTGCCTGGCCCGGGCAGCTCTCGCAGAGGCACACTGCAGCCAGCAGGCACCGCGCTGGCAAGCATCCCCGCATGCTGCAGCCAGCAAGGCGGCTGCAGCTGTCTGCAGGCTCACGTCAGGGCGAGCAGGGTGTTCATCTGCACATTGGGGCTGATTTTGGGGGGTTGTTTTGATTTCTTTTGGGTTTTTAGCAATCCCTTGGTGCAGGGTTACTGGTTTAGAGTAACATTGCCTGGGCTGAAGGATCTGTGGGGAGAGGGACCGGTGTAAAACAAAAAGTCGTGATTTTAAAGTGGAAATAGAAGCCTGGCCTCGTGAAGAGTGGGCATGCGCCTCTCTTGGTTTTAGTCGTGACATGGCCACTTGAGCCCTTTGAGATGAACCTTGTTCCCGGTGCCATGAGCAAGGCTGGCTGGGCCAGTCAGCCTCGCCTACCTCTAGCAAGTTAGAGAGCCTGGGTGCTGTCAGACCTGGGTCCTCCAGCACTGTGTGTGTCCAGCTGCAGCTCAAGGACAGGGAGCAACTCCTTGGGGCAGGGACAGGTGTCCCCAGGAGAGTCACCCGTACCCGATGGCAGCAGGTCTGGGGGGTGGCACAAGGGCGACTGGGCAGCGGCTCAGGTACTTGGCTCAGCTTCCCGAGGCTGGGCTGGAGGTACCCTATGGCTGGAGGCCATCACCCTGTGTCCAGAAAGCCATCCTGCTTTTAGATTTAAGCTAACATTTCTTTTAAAGGTTTATTTTGTCTCCTTTGAACTGTTCCTCCTGCAGCACAGGCCGTCAGCCTCTCTAGCTTCTCCTCTGCTTTGCTTTGTCATTAAACCAGCTCAGTGCCGGAGAGCAGAGGCTCAGGACAAAGGCAATGAGGTGAGACAGTGCCATCATTGCAGAGCTGCCCAGAGCCAGCCATCGCGCCGTGGGGCCATGCACCCAGCTCAGGGACACGCTGCAGCCCCAGAGCCACCAGGCTGTGTGAGGCTGGCACCTCTGGACAGAGGCGGGTGACTCAGAGAAGTCCAAGTGCCGTATGCCTCTGGCAAAACCTTTATCGAATGAATGTGAAATCTCATCAAAAGTAAATTGAGTTTCCATGAGAAATCTGGTTTCCATAAAGCTGTATTGCCTGACACATGCTGCCCTGACGTAACTCTCGGAGCCCGCACCTAGCCGGCAGGTCACAAGGAGTGTGCCACGAGCTGCCTGCCACGTAAAGCCCGCTGTGCCCACCCGGACCCTGCAGCCCGGGCTTCAGCTCCTCTGCATCCCAAAAGGGCTCGTATCCACAACCTCCGGCCAAGCACACGTGCCAGTGCAGCCCGCCCCGGCACGGTACTCACTTCTGGGCCTTGGGTGGCTTCTCCGGCTTCTCTGGGTAGGGGATGACGAAGTCAATGGCCGAGTCAGGCTTCTGGAGCAGTGTGCCCAGCTTGGTCTTGATCTCCTTGGCCCTGCAGGAGGGGACGAGCAGAGGCAGGTCAGGCGGAGGGATGGGGCAGCGGGGATGGTCCCTGCCCTGCACCCGCAGAGACCCCGGCACAGACCCCGGCACAGCTGCTGGTGAGGTACAAAGCTGTGTAATTAATTACACACAGACAAATGGACCCTAATACTGTAAAGGCGCCTGGCTGAGGCATTTCAAGCTGGGGACTCAGAATTAGCAGCAGCTCTTGATCTCCATCTCTTTGCTTTGTCCCCATCTGTGGCTGGGATAATTGTATCAGCGGAGCTGGTGGGCTGCTCTGGGGATGAATTAGGGGATGTGTGTGTGTGTAGCACTCAGTTTCTATAGTGATGTGCCCTGAGGAAACACTGGTGAGGAGGCGAAGGAGCTCCCTTCCAAGAGGAGGCCATGCAGGGCACTGTGCTGGTCTGCACAGCAGTGCCTGCCCCACACTGAGCCCCATCCCGCCTTGCACCCACCAGCAGTGCAACACAGGTGGCATCTGGAGCAGGGTGCCCTCCCCAGGTCCTGGTCTGCAGCCAGAGGGAGCAGGAAACTCCTCATCGTGTCCCCTGAGCTTTTTGATGTCGCTGCCTCTGCCTCCAGTGATGCACAGTGCAACCCCCGAGCGCAGAGCTCTGCTGCCCAGTACCCTTGCACCATGCAGCCAAAATCCTCCCTGTCCCAGGGGATGCTATTGCTAACACATAGGTTAGCACGCACCTCTATGCTTGCCAAAATCAGGGTGAAACGCTCCTTGCTGTGCTCTCTGCCCGCCCCGACCCTCCCAAGCACTCACAGCTGGGGGCTTCCTCCTTTCTGGGCACTTTTATTAGGATTATATAATTTTTCTATTGCTCTCTTGGGGACCACCAGCAACCCACCATGCTTCCTGCTAGTGCTTGTGGTTTGTTTGCTCATGCCTAAGTAATATATAAGCCCTACGTCTGCAACAGGAAGGGTCCTGCAAACAGGTAACTCCTAGGTGCGGCTTTCCCCGGGCAGAGGGGAAGAAGGGCTTCAGGAGGTGAAGTAGTCTGACTAGCAAAACAGTTTCATCCTCCATCTTTCACCCTTCATCCATTTGGAGGATACATAGACAAGAGGGGTCCTGGGGCTTGACAGCAGGTCCAACTGTCTCCCAAAGTGTGCCCTTTTGTGCAATATGACTTGCAACGTGGTCCTGAGCATCCAAAACCACAGAGGAGGCTCCTTTGCTGCAGCTCAGCGTTGGTAGCAAGAGCAAGCCGAGCTTCTGCAGAGAAAACTCAGGTGTGCTGCATAAGACTGAACAAATAAAGGGGTGAAAATGGACACACACACACACACACATCTTTGCAGGGCACGTCTCTGCCCTGGCACAGCAACATTTAGTGACTTCCAGGCTCGCTGGCACAGGGGGTGGATGAGAGCAGGGGGACACGCTGCTTCCCCACGGGCTGGCTGGGCTCGGTGCCTTCGCCACGGCGCGGCTGTTGAAGCCGGGCTGCAGCTCCCTGGCGTCAGGGCTCATTGCACTTCTCTCTGCTGTTTATTTTCACAAGCCCTCTGTGGACAATCGCTCCCTTGCTATGTCTGCTATTTCATTTCCATTCCTTCAATTCTTTTTCCGCTCCCTGTAAAACTCCCTCTGCGTTTTGGTTTTCCACCCGCCAGCCCCCGCGGGTGACTTTTTGAGACCTGGCGTGGGCTCTGCTCCTCCGCCGGCTGCCCCTCGCTTCTGCTGCAGACGCCTGCATCCGACACCCACCCTTGCACAGGAGCGGGCAGGGGCTGGCAAGGCCCAGGAGCGGGCAGCAGAGCCAGCCGGAGTGAGCAGCCCAGCTTGGGTCTGCACGGACCACCTGTGGCGGGTGTACAGCACAGGGCAGAGCAGACTCAGAAATCCAACTGTCTTCATGGAAAATGTCAGCAGCTACAGGGACAGCTTCTGTTGCTCATGCTTCTGAGAAAACTTGAATCTTGCCTGGAACAACCAGGACCTTAGGTGAAGGGTGATGAGGTCCCCACGCTCCCTGCACCGAGGTGTCTCTGGGACAGGGATGCTGCCATGCACAGTTCGTTCCACTCCCTCTAATAAATAAATAAAATGTGGATAAATGCTCTGAGCTGAAGCTGGCTCTCCTGCAAGCCTCAGGTGCCCATTGGCGTCCCACAGGCTGGCACTGCCGTGCAGTGACCCCCATGGCACAACCCTGACCCACAGGGATGGCACAGCTGCAGCGAGGAGGAGCGGGTGAAGGCAGCAGGAGCTGCAGCCCCGTTAGCACCGAAGCAACAGGTGGATGCAGAAGGTGCCCAGGAAAGCTGCTGGGGCATGACAGCCTCCCCCCCGGTTCTGCTTTCCCGGACATCTGTGCTTGTGGCCACTGCTCCCTGCAGGGAAGGGGACACATGGGCTCGAGAAGCTTGTCTCAAAGAGGGGCTGAGCAGAAATGTCGGCTGCCACCTGGTCCTTTCCCTGCCACTGCACCGTGCTTGGGAGGGCAGAGCCGGGGATGCTGCTGTGGCCGACTGCTATGCACCAGGGAGGGTCTCCTCCAGGCAATCGGACCACGCACGCAATCGTGGGGGTTTCATCTGGCAGGAGCAGGGGTGAAGAGCAGGGGGGAAGGGGCTCACCCACCTCTGAAATGAGGACGGTGGATGCCAGCGGGCCCCAAACAGGCACGGGGAAAACACGGGCTGTGCTGGGAGCAAGGGCACCGAGAGCCAAATCTAACACACGACAGCCTAAGGAGGTGGGGAGATAGGACCAGGACTCTGTTGCTGTCTGAGCAGGACATGGGGACCTCGCTACCCTGGTGCAAATGGGGCCAACACACGCACAAGATCTGGATGCAATCAATAGCGGCATCACGCAGCAGCAAGCACTGTCCCGGATAATGCTCAGACCTGGTTCAAAATCTGGCTCTCTAATTCCCACCCTCTGACAGTGACTAATGGCCAACATCTGTCGGGTTCAAAGGACACTAATGGGCCTTAATGGCCCTGAGCAGCCCCAGCTGAGCCCCACACCCTGCCCGCGGCCAGGGGCTCCATGTAAGCTCAGCCCTGGGACTACCTTCCCTTTAGTGGTGCTGTAGGTGGGCTCCTTCCCAGTCTGGTCTCCTGGCTTGATGTTGGACCTCTATTGCAGCCCTACTGCCTGCTGCTCCCGACGGGGCTCCCTGGGGAGCCTGGTCCCAGTGTGGGGACAGCAGCAAGAACGTCCCCACCCCGAGTAAGTCCTCAGCTGTGGGGCCTTCATGAAATATGGGGAGACCGCAGAGATGAGGAAGCGTGTTGAAAGGAAGTGAGAAAGGACAGCCAGAGGGCTGAGCGCTTGCAGGCTGGCGGGAGGGAAGGACTATTTAAAGACACCATCCTGGCATCCTCCAGCAGATGTATTACAAGCTTTCAAGCAAGACTTCAGCAAAGGCTAAACAGCAGGGTAAAAAAGGCAGTTATAAACAAAGAGGCACCCTTCAAAACCACCCCACACCCCCCCCAGCCATGACCAAGTGAGAAAAAGCAAGAGGACCATAAACTGTGAAAGGTTAAGTGTGAGAACATGTAGGAGCAAGCCAAGAAAAAGTCTGAGAAACAGCTTCCAAGATGCATTAAAAGAAAATATGGGCTCTGTCAAACACGTCAAGAGCAAGAAGTCTGCTGGGGAGAGCCAGGAGAGACTCCAGCTTTAAAAACAAAACAAAACAAAAAAAAGAGGTTTGAAGAAGTTAAAGCTATAGCTGAAAGCTAAAGCTGCTGCTGTGCCTGAGGGCAGGGAGGTGCCAGAGGGAATGCCCCTTGAGGGGGAAAAAGGCTCTAGGGGGGATTTGAGGAGCCATAAAGCTGCAAGTGTGATACTGTACGGGCATGTCAGCAGCAGCTGTATCAGACAGCTGTGGTGGACACATGGACAAATATGGTCTATTGGAGAGGAGACAAGGCAGATCTGGCAGTAGGAAAAGATTCCATCAAACCTATCGGCCCTCTCTGAAGAGGCCAGCAAGCACGTGCCTTGGGGAGAGCCGGGGGGTACCAGCCCCTTGGGTCTGCAGGAGACCTTGGATGGGCTCCCCAGACCCCAGGCAGCTGCAGAGGGGAAGGTCGTCTCGTGGATGACAGCGTGGGGAACAGCGTGGGAAAGGTAGCACACAACATGTCGGGGACATGGTGTGTTTTCCTTGGTGGGGACGGTCCTAGGGGAACGTGGGCTGGGACCGTGCTGTTAAACATATCACATGCATGGGGAGAAGGGCTGAGCAGCAGATAATGTGCTACCCCGATACGGCACTTGGGGACCGGTTGCGAGGAACAGCAGGAGGGTCTCTTGAGACTGTCAGTGAAGCGGCTGTTGAAATGCCTCATAGAGCAACACAAAATGACGCACACGGGACAAACCCAGTCCTAACTCCACGTATAAAACCGTGGGCTGTAAGCGAAGCGGCCTTTCAAGAGTAATGATTTGAAGGTGTAACAGAGGTCAGTGAAAGCATCAGCATAGCAGCAGTGAAAAAAAACTAATATAGGATTAGAAAGTAGCAGAAGAGTGACAACAAAGATGACAGCAGAGCAGAAACGTGTGGTTCTGGGAGAGCATCTGGAAGAGTGCTGCCCATGGTGCAGGAGGCTGCAGGAGACCAGGCAAGGTGAGCATGGGGCCACGTGGATGGCTGAAGGGCACGTTTCAAGCAAAGAAATTGTCACAGGCCCGTGCTCCTGTTCATGCCTGTGATGGGAATTTGCCTTGCTTTCGGGCAAGCAGCATCAGCTTTAGCTGATGAGGGGGGACTTCTCCTGAGCTCCCCCCAGGACAGTGAATGCTACCCTCGCTCTCATCTAAAAACCAGTACTAAAGCATTTGCAGTTGCGAGGAAATCCTCACTGTGTAATTCATGTCTAAAGTCTTTTACCAAGTTTCCTCCTTAGATGAAGGATCGAGTGCCCTGCTGGTGCGGGGAGACCCCAGCCTCGGGCCATGGCCCCCTTGGACCTCGGCTTCTCACTGGACCCCCTTCAAGCCCCCTCCAGCTCTGCAGGAGCGGAGGAGGGGGCAGGTTTCAATCAGCATGGAAATGGCTGGGGGCTGGAGCCTGCCTGGGTTCCCAAGGGGTGAGAGCAGCCTGGGAAGCACCACCACCACCCGGGGCAGGTTTCGAGGTGAGCACCGGGGCAGAGGGGGATGAAGATGAGGATGAGGATGGGTGCCACGAGCCAGGCAGAGCAGGCACTCTGCACAGAGCCGAGCCTCGTGAGAGGGGCCAGGGCTGGCTAATCCGTGTGCAAGGGAGATGCAGGCGGTTAAAGAGGATTTTGAGGGACTTTGGAGCCAGGGCTGTTTTCACCAAAGAAAGGCAACCGCTTTCCTGCTTTTTTCCTCCCCCACATGTTTTGCAGACATTAAGGTCTGAGGACAACACACTCCTGCTCTGGGCCCGCACAGGGGAGACGCTGACGTTGAGGGGTGGTTTTGGGGCAGCCCAGACTTGCCCAGCAGAGAGATTCCCAAACCAGACAGGAGAGTTTGGGACTGGATCAGCGCTCACACCCCCCAAGGGTCCCAGTCACTCGCAGCATCCCACTGAGCCCCCGCCAGCAAGCATCCCTTCCCTCCCAGTTCAGAGCTGGCTGACCCCAGTCCCCATAAGAGATGTCCACCGTGGGGCTGTGCCGGAGGAAGAGCCTCTCTGCCCCCAGCCGCCCCGGCAGAGCCCAGCGGAGAGGCAGGCACCCCGGCATCCCCACGCGGGCTGGCCGCTCTCACCTCTCCAGGCACGTGTGGGGCAGCGCTGCTAATCCTTTGCACATCTTGGCAGGCTGTAGTTTTCCTCAGCCACGAGAAGAGTGTGAGCGATGGCCAAAGCAGGCAGCAGCAGCTCTGTCTGCAGCCCAGCTCCCCCCTCTCCCTCCTATATAACGCCGGGAGCTGGACCCCTGCCAGCCCCGTAACCAATGCCGTCCGTCCCGCCACAGCTGGCCCCGGCCCCAGCGGCTTCTGGATTTTGTTTTCTCCTCTCTAAGCTCACATAGAGGGAAAAATGTGTTTTTTCTGGGGTGAGATCAGGTAATCAATTGGAAGGGCCAAACTGCTGTTGGGGGGGCTTCAGGAAGCCCACAGGGTTTCCTCTTAATGTTATATCAGGCTCCAGGTCAGTATTTAGAAAAGCCAGGTAGAAATGCTTCATTCAAGTGAGGTCTTTTTCTATGAAAAATTTCACTTTCATAAAAATAAAAGTGCTTAGGAGAAGTCTTGCTGTTGATTTAAAGGCTGTGGCTAACATCAAAATATCCACAGCTTCAATAGTGGTTATCAGCTGGTGGGTAACAGACTTGTGTTCCAGAACAAATTCCTTTTAATATAAGCTTAAAAAAAAAAAAATCTTTTAATCATAGCAAATGTTCTGGTTTTATCTGACAGTGACACTTTGATGAGGCCAAAAAGGCTTCCCACCCAGAATTTTGTTAAGCGGAAAATTTGGACCCTATTTCCATCTCCTTTCAGAGCAGTAAAACACATGCCAGAGCCCGGAGCCGCCACCGATGTGGGATGTGGGGCCTGAGCAGGGACCGGTCCCCGCCTCCCCCTGCATGGCTCTGCCCCACCGGGACACAGCCCCTTGCTCACCCAAAGCTTGGGTGCTGCACAGCACCGTGGTGTTTCTGTTTGCTTGGGTAAGATCTCTTTGATTGCTCCTCTAAAACTCATTATCGTGGAGCGAGGGCCTCCCTATGGTCGTGACATCTCTGGCACGAGTTCCTCCTGGCCTCAGCCAGGCACACCAGTGTAGGTGTAACCCCAGAGAGAGACGGACTGCTGAGGCAAATTATGGCAAAGATGGGGACCAGCTTGGCTCCGAGGGGCCCTGTAGCCAAAGCCCTGACTCGGTGGCTCCCTACAGCCACTCAGGGGGGGAGAATGAGCTGCAGCCAGCAGCTGCAATGGAGTCACTCCTAACACTGCTGAGCAGTGCTTGGAGTGGAAGGGGTAACTGCAGCCATCCCAGATGTTTCCATCCTGGCTTCCAGATGGGCTGTGACAGCCCATCCTCATCAGGGTCACCTGGGGCATGGCTCATCGCCCAGGTCCACATGGCCAGGCTGGAGCCAGCACAAGGGGAAAGCCCTCAAACACACACAGGGTGGCTATGGGGGCCTCAGCGCCAACTCTTTTGCAGTGGCAGGACTTACTCACACCAACAGGGGTCTTTGCCACCCCGCACCAGTGCCTGTGCAATTACACCTGCTCTGGCACAGGCACGCAGAGGGTGTGCGGCTCCGTTCTGCCTCCACCTCCCACTCCACCCCAGCCAGAGCATCCCCTGAGCATCCTGCTCGGGCTGTAGACTCAGGGTTCACCCTGAAAATCTGCCACATGCTTGTCCTGACCTCAGCTGCCTGGGTGACTTTGAAAATGCGCATTCAAGTGCTGTGTTTAGCACCCACAGCTCGGAGCTGGGAATAGGAGACCTTGCTCCTAACCTGGCTGTCCAGACTCGAAGGGCACTGATGGCCTTAATTGCCCTGACCAGCCTCACCTGCCCCCTCAGCCCAGGGCTACATTTAAGCTCAGCCCTGGGCTCCTTTTCCTCTTCTGAGCTGTGTCAGAGGAGTGCCCGGCTCTGGATGGACTTTGGACCTGCATTGCAATCCTGTCTCCTGCTGTTCCAGGATTATGCAGCAAATAATGTCTGCGTTTCAGCGTGTGAGTGCAGTGACTGAAAGCTGGAAGTCCACTAGAAACCGTGCCTCCCTGGAGAACTTGGGTTAGCTTTTTACTAGTTTGTAATGGAAATTGAATGAAAAAAGCACACCCTAAAATTTCAGAGGATGAGATACTTGAATGACCTTTCCCTGGGTTTGTGCTGATTATCCCCAGATACACCCAAGCAGGTGTGCCAGACCTGCCGGGCTGGGGGGCTGCCCCTTCCTGCTGCCCGGCACCGATGTGGCCACCAGCCCCTGTGTGCCTCGCAGAGCAGGGAAGGAAACAATGGCAGCTGCAGAGGATGGAGGTACTTTAGTCCTTCACAGGCTGCTATCATTTCGCCCTTTTCACACAAGAGTTGGGCAGGGGCTCTGTTACCAGCATGGAGGTGCCTCACCCCAATTTGGGGATAGCCCAGAGCCCAACTGCCCCATCTCCCAGCAGCTGGGATGCAGCGGGGGGGCTCTCCGAGAGACTGCAGCCTTGCAAGCTCAGCAGGGCTGTTGGGCTGTGCCGGTTGCCGCAGAGCCAGAGAGTGTGTCAGGGCTATTTGTTTGCTAGCAGGGATGTCACCAGGGTACCCCGAGTGCCAGGTCGGTGGCTGCTTTGAAAGGCTCTCTTGAAGGCGAGGTGCTGTTTGCAGGGTGCTTTGCCAGCCGGCTGGGCACCTCCTGGCACGGAGGGGAGAAGGTGGCAGTGAGGGGTGGGCGAGAAGTGCCAGCGGTTCACACAGCTGCCGGGCTGAGAAGGGCAGCGAGGCCATGGGACCACATGGGAAATCCCCACAGCCTTGCGCTCGGCTGCTGAGACATTGGGAACACAGTTATTTTTTCTCGTTAATCTTCAGTAATAAAGTCAGCATCGGAAATCCCGGGGGAGCTTAGATCTGTGGGATCAGGCGGTTTGCGTGAATGCTGTCCAGCAGACACCGAGCACCCTTACATGCTCTCCTTCCGGCTGCAGCCGGGGCCGCATGCCCCTGGAAAGCAGACAGCCTCTCCAGGCACGCCGGGGGCATGGCTCCAGCTCTGCAGACCTCCCGCTGCTTGGAGGAGCCTGGAGCTTTGCCCTGTGAGACCCCATGAAGGAACTGGGTCTGTCCCTTAAAGACTTTTACCTACTTTACCTTTTTCAGTCCTGGGTGGGCAAATCCCCTAGTCCTGTGGCAATGCCATAGTTTGGTGATGGATGCTCTGTAATCTCTTCCACAGCCCCAGGGTGGGGGTTTAATGAATGCACAGAGCAAGCTGGGGAAATTGAGGTCCAAATGAGTGATGAAGCTTCATGAGAGAGGGTCATAAGGAAGCTCTACCGTGTGCTGGGATTGCAGTTGTGCATTTTAGCAGAGACTTATCTGAAACACTGAAAAAGAAACTATATACCATTGAGCAGAAACAAGGGTCACACAGAAATAGTTTGTATTATTTTCTGCAGACCTTTGTCCAGTAAGAAATGTTTGGTTTGTGCATTTCAAGGCTTTAGACTGCTAAGAAAATATTTCCAATAAGAAACTACCCAGACCTTCCTTTTCTTCCCACGACAGCTTAATTTCTTTAAGAGCCCTTCTGGGAGAGCCTTTTTGGAGATCCAAGTGCACCCCGAGGACCAGATTGTCTTGTGTACACAATGGCTGGTTTCCTCCAAGAGCGCTCTAGGTTTCTGCCTTGCAACTGCCCCCTCAAAAGCCACGTGGAATCTCCCATTACACCAGATTTATCCTGGGCTCTGTTATTTCAGGACTTTATTATCCAGTCTAACAACTTGCCTTTTATAGAAGGCAGCCTCTCTGCTTTGCAGTTTCCTGGTTCCCACTGGAACTTTTTAAAAATTAGCATCATAGTTAACAACGTTGGCTTTTTGGTAGACGGATCACTGTAATTCTCACCCAGGCGAGTATTTGGCAGTTCATCTGAGCACTCCTTCCAGCAGATTTTTAACCATGTGTTCTAAAAATGGGGTTAAAGATATCTCCCCCCCCCCCAGTGCCTTGGGACAGTCATGCAAATGCATGTCCCCTAAGAAATGAACCTAGTATGAGCTCCTTCACAGCAAAGGCCAATGTAAGTAACTCATCAAGCTTTTCCGTGATGGCTCTTTCCTTCTTGTAGAGCCTGATCACGTCCTGTCCCCGGGGCTCTCTGGGGAGCTTTCTGCTTCTCACATAGTCATGATTCATTTTTATGCCTTTAGGACACTTTTCTCAAATCTTCTGTGGCCAGCCTTTCACCTGTAACTTTCCAGAGCTTGTGTTCTTTTTTTACTCTCTCATCTGTATGCAATTTTCACTTCCTTTAAGGTCTTGCCACTTCAGGTGTTCATTTCCACTCCCCTGTATAAGGACATCACCTTTTTTTTAAGGTGAGCCTGCCTCTCATTTCCCTTTTGACATCAAATATGACTTTTAAAGTTACCACTTTTGCTCTAACCAGGACAGTCTGGTCAGTAATTACGGCTCCATGGCCCCTCATTTGTTACCTTTGAACTAAGTCCTGTGCACACTTCAGGAGTCACTCGGGTAACACACGGTGTGGGCTTACACCATCCCACTGCCTCCACCAAGCCTTTGAGGTCCAGCCCGATAATTAAAACGCTTGTGTAGAAGGAAGGAGACAGGGGATCCTGGCTCCCTCCGCTTGCTGCATCCAAGTCACTGACACAGGAGCCATGGGTGAGGTCGAAGAGGAGAAAACCCTGGAAAGCAGTGTCACCCGGAGCACAGGGACTCTGGCCAGCTGGGAATTCGAGAGTCACGTCTGTCCTGCATCCCAGCTGCAGAGCCGCCAAGTTCCTCGACCCCAAGCACAAGGCCTGAGAATGGCCGGGGCCACGGCTGGGACACAGTGCTGCTCCTCACGCCTGCTCTGCACCTGGGGCAGGGACCTGCTCCCTTCCAGCACCCGGGCAGCACAGGGCAGGGGCAAGCCCACCCCGAGACATGCACAAGGCTGGCCTCACCTCTTGCACAGGCAGAGCACCCTTGGGAACAGAGCTGAGCTCTGGTTCACTTGTGTCCATAAGGAAAGCCCAGAGGAGCCTGTGGTGACAGGCATTTTCAAGTCAACGCAATTATTTGCGTAGCGTTCATGCTACTGTAGGTACTACAGTGACAGCCTGGATCTGAGCAGCAGCATCCCTGTAGCGGCCCCTCTGCACCCAGAGCAGATCGGCGAGGACAAGGCATGCGCTGCGTGTTTGCAGAGACCTACTGCAGGCAGAGCCAGCGCCCCAGGCACATCAGCAACTGCTGCTGAGCTTCCAGGAGCTCCACTATCAAAGCGGCACTGGTGCCACCGTGTGCTCTGCAGGGCGCAGCATGTTCTCTGCTCTCCTGTGTCCGTCTACAGCACGGCCACTTGCCCGTGTGCGTCCCTTGAAGTGACACCAAAAGACACAATCTGTGAACAGATGTGGTTGGGTTGGCAATGTGCAGGAGACAAACAGGATTTCGACACAAAGTTGGCACAAACAGACCAGTCATAGGATTTTATTTAAGGCCTGAATTCAAGAAATCACCTGGATTACACCATTTTTACCTGGATTCGCATGCTGGATCCAGGCAGCAGAGCACATTGTTTCTCCTCACCCACCAGCCAGCACCTGCATTTTTGATCACTTGACAGAATCAGCCACGATGCAAAGTATACCTCTGTCTCCACATTAGCCATGGAAGCAGCCCACTCCTTTCCCACATGTGCATTCATCCTCGGCGCAGAAGAGCATCTGAATGGTGAATCAAGCTCTTTCCTGCCCATCCCTTTTGCTCTACGTGCCCTGCTGTGGCACTGCCTTTCCCAGCTCGTGAATGGCCCCATTCTCCAGCACCTCCACCTTCCCCTCGCCTGGCTGCAGCACACTGGCCACCATAGCCCTGGCCACTGTTTCCACAGGCACTGAGTAAGCGGTGGGGAAGACCTGAGCCACAACACGCAGAAACTGCTGGGCCATCCACTCCGCGGGGCGGGACTCCTGGCGCTTGCACAGCAGCACCCTGCAGAGCGAGGAGGTAAGGTGGGTCAGGCTGAAACCATCCCCTGGGGAAAAACTAGAGACTGGGTTCTCCAGCTGCACCGGGCCCAGCCCAGCTTGCTAAACCCACATGGGGGCCACGGGGCTTTGGCAGGGTCCTGAAATGTGACTGAGCTGAGCCCTGGGACACTAAACTCTTTTCCCCGCAGTACTGCCAAAAGCAGGATGCCAGTTCTCCCAGGCAGCAAGAGCATAGTACAGATGAAAGGATACAGGTGAGTGTCCCCCCTGCATAAGGTCAAGGTCTGTGTGGAGACAAGCTTTGACCTATGTCCCCCAACCTCTGCTCTCAACCCAAGCCTCTTCTCCTTGCATGGCATGTGACACTAGCATTGGGACAGGCCATGGAAAACTGCTGTGCTTGATCCCTGCAGTACTGGGAAGCAATGTGCTCATCCAGGAGCTGCATTTGCAGCTGATGGCTTTTTCCACTTCCCTCCCCAGCCCTCCCCTTATGCATCCTTTCTCTCTTTCTCCATCTCCCAATCCACGGCCCTGGCACCCCTCCACCTGAGTCCTGTGTCCTCCCTCCTCCACCGCTACTCACGCTGGCCGGAGAATGGTACAGCGATCAAAACCAACAGCCTGGACCAGGTTCTCCACTTCCCCCTGTCAGAGCAGTCGGGCAGGATGAAAGGAGAAAAGGATGACTGAAAGCACCATTCCTGCCACCCCATGAACTGGCAGGAGAGAGTCGCTGAGCTGTGGGCAGGACGGCACTAATGCCAGTGCAAAGCTGGTACGGGCCAGGCACCGCCTGGGCAGCAAGCAGCTCTCCAGGGAAAGGCAGCACGGGGCGAGCGTCCAGCGTGGACACACTGACCACTGGTCAGCAGCGCACCCTTGCAACCATCACGCTAACTGCAAGCGGACGCTCCTGAGACAGCATCTGGACACAGTGTCCAGCCTGGGGATCCCGGCACAAGGCACTGGCAGATGGCAGTGAGTCCGACAGATGTTGGGGGCTGCAGCACACAACGTATGGGGAAAAACACTTTTGCGATGGGTATGGTCCCACCTGGGGAGCCTGTGGGCTCTCCACCCCAGATAGTTCACATCTCACCTGGAGACAGCCCTGAGCCTCCCCATATAGCTGTGAAGCCACCCCAGTTTGGGATTGGGGAGCCTGGGTCGGGCTGGGGACCCCAGCAGGTCTGAAGAGGGACATGGATGCCGCATGCGGGTGCTGTGCTGCTTTGGACGAACCCAGCGGCATGGCTGTCCTGCCAGCCCCCTTCCCTCACCCCCTTGTCCCCCAGCAGCAGCAGGAGCCTCGGAGCCATTTGCATCTCTTGCCACCTCAGTGCCCGCTTCCCTCCTGAGCGCCCCAGGAGGAGCCCCCAGCTGCCCCCTCACCTTCACGCGGAGGTAGAGGAAGCGGCTGTGCTGGTTTGCCCCCCGGGAGGACTGCAGGACAAAGTGTTGGCAGCCCCCTGCCCGCGCCAGCTCTGCTGCCTGCGCCACGTAGTCCCGGTCCACACGGACGAAGCCATCCTGCGGGCGAAGGGCAGAGGGGCTCAGCACGGCGGGGGAGAGGGCAGGCGGCACCCTGCCCCCCGGGGGCCCCACTCACCGCGCCGGCCTTGGCCCTGGTGGTGCCCAGG